TCAGAGACCCTTGGACACAGGGCGTGACACACACACACACACACACTCTCTCGACTGGTCCCGAACCAAACCCTTTTGGGATTGCTGAGAAGGTCCGGCCCCTACTGTTAGGAGGGTCCGGGGTCGCGTCTGGGAATGAAAAATAAAGAAAGACCGCCTTTGGGGCCCCCTTTCAAGACTTATAAGAGTCTGGTGACGCACACACACACACACACTTGCCACTGAGTGTACTGTGTACCTGGACCATCCGACCATCTGGATGTCCTGGATGGAGATTCCTGTCTGGAAGGGTAGTCCACTGCATGGTGATCCCACACGGCTGCTCCTGGCATACTGCTTCATCCACACGGTTTTGGGCCACTCCGACTGTTCCACCTGCTGAGTTGCGGTAAAGCTTGAATCTTCTTTATGACCACCAGCAGCTGGTATCTGGGTTCTTTTGCCAAAAAACGATCTTTTCGATGGCTGAGGTTGCGAAAGGGTAAGGACGGAAAGGAGAAGAAGAAGTGATCGGAGCTGTCGGTGAGATCGAGGGCGCCTCCTGGGCGTGACCCGCGGCTGATCGAGCCGGCGTGGCGTTGAAGCTTCATGTTCGGGTCCGAAGTCGCTCCAAGGAGGAAAGAGATGAAAGACCCCTTAAGGGGCAGTAAAGAATCAGGCATTTTGGGGGGTGAAAAGTGTTTAACCATATTGCATTGCGGTGTTTTGACCCCTGAAACCTTTGAATTCATGTCATTGACACAGCGGAAAGTGCTCGATCTCCCCACGGCGGGGCGGGGCGTGGTCACTTCCATGGCCAGGAGCTGGCCAAGGCAGCGCAGATGGCAGTTGAATAACAATGGATTCAGAGGAGAAGGCACCAATGTCCAACGTCTGGTGTTCTATATATCTATGGACCCCCGCTTCTTGTAAAGGACATCTTGAGGTCTGCACCATCTACTCTGACACCGCTGTGAACAAACATCGAAAGAGCTGAGGCAACTTGGGGGGTTGATTTGCTTGTTCTATGATGTCGGAAGTGGACAACCCCCAGGTCCCCGCTTGGTGGAAGTTGTCATGGGAGGCTTTTCTTGTGACTGAGCCAATCTTTACGACCTCTAAGGCCACCAACAGGACAAGACAAAAGAGAGCTATTTTGCAATTCCCTACGCCTCCAAGTACCTCCTCAGAAGGTATTTGGACCCTCCAAACCCACCCCAAACACCTTGTCAGAAGGTACGACTGGAGGCCTAGGGATTGTGAACCACGTAGATTGAATCAAAAATAATCAACTCAAAGTACTTTGTCGCTGAGAGGTATCTCTGACCTGGCTCCTTTGACCATCAAGGATTAGTTTTTCACCCATAGGAAACGAGCGGTTGGTCGGCACGGTGACCGGCACCGCGAGATGGCACCAGCCATGTCCCGCGCGAAAAAAAGAGGAAGGACAAGGGGGAAAACGAAACACGTACCAGGTGCTTCCAACGGGTCACCAGGCTGGACAACTACCTGGTCTTCAGACAGGGCACCCAGACAGGAAGTGCTACACGTCGGATTCCGTCCTGGCGTTTCCGATCCCTACAGAAAGTACTGGGCTGGGTCGTCCAGCCAGGATCCAGTGGATGGTCCTGGTATTCATCCTTCCTGGGTGTCCGGTCCAGCGAGTAGACCTACTGCTTGGATGCTGAGCTCCATGTTGGCCCTGGGAAACGCATACTCGAATACCACCTTGCAAAAAACCTGCTTAGGATTTCCTTGAAGCTGACATTTGATGCATATATATGTATATATGTCATACCTAGATCTTCAGTCCGGCACTTTTACAGGGTCCGGCGCCGGACTTCCAACTCCGGCGTTTTTCTGGATTTGGTCCGGCGGTTTTTCCAAGTCACTTGAAATGTGGATTCTCAAGGCTTTGCATTCTTTGTGGCTTGCATTTCTTTGAAGGTAATGATTTGCTTGCAAAGTGTGCTCGTTTGCCTGTTCCGCTGTTTTCTCATTCCACCGGTTTCAGCATGGTTCACACTGGATCAATCAGATCCGTTTAGGTGATCTTCTAAGTGAAATAGGATGAAATTGGTACAGCGCGATGCACGTGTTGAAAGACCCAAGTGGGTGTACCTAAGCTGAAAGAACATAGGCAAAAATGTACTCCCATTGTTTCAGAATGTCGGGGCGCTGGGATATAATTAGTTCTAGTTGCGCAGGTTTGCAGAGCCTGCCGGACAAGTTTTGGGCTGTGGAACATGTGTTGTTCAGAATCTCAATGTTTTGCAGAGAGTTGCTAAGAACCATTGCACGTCGTAACTCCGGCGTTTTTTCCAGTAACTCCGGCGTAATTTCCCGTAACTCCGGCGTAATTTCCCGTAACTCCGGCGTATTTTTTTGGACTCAGTCTTTTGAATTTTGAAAAGTTTTTCAACTAAGAGTTTCGACAGGAACCATGAGTGCTGCTACTTTATTGGCGGGGCCGTCCTGAGGCAAGCAATAAAAAACAATTTAAAACCATATAAGAATCATGGAGAGCCACTTTGTACAAAACAATTAGAGACACGGGTGCAGAGAAATAGGGGTTCCTTGCCACATACTCCTTGGTTTCTTCTTGGAAGTCTTTGCTTGGGCACAAGTTTGCTTATATTTTGTGATGGTTCTGCTCTTAGGCCATTCGGAAGATGGGCGAGGGCAATGGGAATGGGAAGGCTCCAGTGCTGGGTTGTGGAATGAGTGTGTTCCAGAAAAAACTACTTGTGGCGCAAAGGCAGTTTGCTTGTGTATGATCCAGCCTTTTATCATCTCTGTTTTTCAGAATCTTGGATCCGGATGTTTTTTCAGGTCTCCGGCGTTTTTTTCGGAATCCGGCGGAAAATTTTGCCGGATTGAGGTCCGGCACTTTTTTCCGCCCAAAGGAGGATCCAGGTATGTGTGCTTTTTAAAATGTCCTTCTAAAACTGCTGCTTAGGCCTTTCTGAAACCCCTATCCTATTCTGGTTTGAACGCTGTCACGCAGGGATATAGATTTGGTCCTCAGTATATGTTCTCTTCATAGAACAAGCCTTATAGGCGATCAGCTGACGGGTTCCTATATACGAGCACATGTACATATTCTTAACAACATGTCCACCAATCATCGGCGATCAGCCAATCTATTTGCCAACACTTGCCAACAATCAACGTGACCTTCGGCAAGGGGACTACTCTCCAGTATTGCCTGCAATGGGTATATGCCTGCATAGAGAGTTCTTAAACCACACCATGGTGCTTCAAAACAGAGCATCGGTTTCTACTGGGCCATACACCACCTGGCCGATCGGTTTCTACTTCAGCCGCTTAGATCGCCGCTTAGTCAATGGCACACGGCCGGTAGACACCGACAGTGTGCCGCTCATCAGCCCCAAGATTCCTGGCCCACCATTCGATTGAATATACCTGGAGTCGACCTGTTCGTACTTCAGAAACTGTACGACGTCGTACCTGTTTGTGGTTCGGGTCAGACGTCCCATTTTCCAAGGTACGAACGGTCCGTCGGGTCCAGGTATAGCCGAAACGTCCTGAAAAAGCGTTGTTTTACTATAAGGTCAGCCATTTTCTAGCTTGTTTTGGAAAGCTTTTAGGGAGAAGCGCGCTCAACGCACTGGGTGCTTGAAGCAAGGAGCCTTTATCATGGCCCATAATCACCACATATGGAGCCTTTGGATGAAAAACACATGAAATCCGGCGGGGTCCATCTGTCCACCCCGATGATGTTGGGGTCATGGATGGCAAAGTGACATTTGCTTCGCTTCATTTGTGGCCCAGAGGGTTTGTTCTATAAAACACTAGAGGTACCCAACCGTGGTTGGCATCCTGGTTTGACTGAACACGCGATTCCCAAACCCACGACCAGTCGGTGTTTTTTTGCGGTTTTGAGGTCCAAATTGGACGGCCCAAGCTATACCAAGCTCTGGCTAAGCAACGCTTTCCCACCAGGCCCACCATGGGTTTACCCAGTCGTCAGTGGTTGTACCCTTTAAGACCTGTTTTGGGGATGCGTTTCCCCACTCAGCGGGCAGAACAGGTGGACCTTCAGAACGCTGCCGAACAGACTCCCGCGTTCGGCCGTGCGTTCAAACAGGGGGGGGCAGTCGTTCGTCATGCTGGGGGTCGGAAACGCTATTAAAAGCAGCTTGCTTCGTATCCATGCGGGAAGCCAAGCTCAATGCGTACTTTTTGTTTGCATGTGTTGTTTGCAAGAGGCAGGTGTCAAAACAGGACCTTTTTTGACTGAGCTGAGTGACCCATGCCATGGCCGCCCTGATACATGGTCCGCGCCTTCCAAAGAGAGGTCAGACGTGGGAAAAAAGGGTCCGATATGTTGAGAATCGTGGGCCCATCACTGGTCAGATGGGATGCTTGAGCGGGCAGGAGAAGGAGCGGGTGGATGCACTGGTCGTGTTGGTCCTTTTCCCCTGTTCGGGTAGAACCATTCTCGATTCCCAGAGCTCTGGGAATGTGTATGTTGTTTTCTTGCGGGCAGTGGTTCGTGCATCTCTATATATATATATACCGATACCTAGAGTCTCAAAGTACTTAAGAAAATGGGTACAGTCGTACCTGTTTTTATGTCCCATTTTCTAAGGTACTTTGGAGGGTCCAGGTATGTCCAGGTATATATATATATATAATGAGCTTGCTCCTTCGCTTTCTTTGCAGCATCAAGCACATTGCATAGCTCGCAACGTGACAATGAAGCAGCAGTTAGCCTGTAGATGGGTAGAACAAGACATCAACCCACGCCAAAGTCCTGCAAGGGACATTGAAAGCATGATGAACCCATGCATAATATAGAATAAGCCGCCAGGCAAGAGATTTTGAGAACGAGACAATGGATTGACCCACATTATCCACATGCAGCATGCACCCTCTACCCATAGCCTACCCCCAACACATTCAAAACACCAGCAGACACCATTAATCACACCATCGACAACACAAAAAAATGGCATTAATTATGTTGACGTTTTTTCTCTCACACCGATCCACGTGTTTTCACAGCTCGACGTGGACCGTTTCACCAGGCCGGGGTCGTGGCGAACGGTGTCCAGCGGCGACGGCCCGCGGCGATTCCGCGGTGTCCATGAGCAAGCTGGTTCGGACGATCGCGTTCGGTAGGTAAGTCAAAATGGGATATGACCCGAAGAACAAAACAAGTATACGTATATATGGTAAATATTACATTTAATTACATTATAGTATACATTTTGAGGGGTACTTTCGACGGTCTAGCAAGTAGAATTTGGACTGCAGTCGGATGTGATGAAGGATGGCGCCAAACTCATGGCACCAACGATGTAGCATTGATTTCTCTAGTGCTCGTCCGCTCAACATCTGAGAATCCTGGAGAGACGTTTCATGACTCTTGACTCTTCACCATGTTTCAGACTCCCATGGTTTTTCACCAGGTATACCTACTCATCTTCCGGCTTTGGGGGGGGGTATCTCATCTTCCTGGGTCTACATCATCATGGATCCAAGGGGTCGCCCCTCACAGCTCGGTGGATCCCTTGGGCTCCCGGGGCGGCGTCCGCCCTCGCCCCGAGCCCAGCGGAGGCCGAGACCCAGCGCCCCCAGCGATGGATTTTGGCTCCGAGACCGTCATGGTGCCAAAGCGGCTCCTCAGCCACTGCGGCGGCACAGTAGCCACACACGTCCCGTTGAGGGGGAGGGAGGCATAGATTTAAAATTGAACCCCAGGTCAACCACCCCTGGCCTGATTGGCAAAGATGGTTTACCCCAATTGGATGGCTTATACCAGCACCACCCAAAGGGTGGTTTATAGACCCCCCTGACTATCTTTTTTCCACCTAATAACAACCCTTCGGGTCGTGCTGGGTAGGTTATAGTTATGTGTCTAAAAGCTATGACTGTGAATGGACTTTTGACCAGTCCAGCACCGGACCCACCGTAAACCTCGGAACCGAACAACGCAAAAAGTACCCGTCGACGCTCCGTGAAACACGCCCCACTGCTCCCTCAACACCTAGGGATTTGAGACCCCAGACCAGTGTATATCCCTAGGGATCCAACTACCTTCTCAGAAGGTACTTGGGCCCTCCAAATCTACATAACAGTGCCTCCAATCACCTTCTGAGAAGGTACTTGGATCCCTAGGGTATACACCTGAGACTTGATACAAGCAAACAGTTCTGTACTTATACCTTTGGACCAGTCGGAAGGTCCAGGTGTAGTGGGGACATACACACGTATTTTTCAGACATCCACAAGGATCCCAAGAAATGAATTCGAAGGTACGACATGGTGCGCTCCGCATTTTCGATTGGACTGGCCCATCCACCATCCTGGACCACGAAGAACTGGCCGCTGGCGCATGAACGACCCAGAAAACAAGAATCCCAGGCACGACCTGTTTGGGACTGGCATTCAATACACATAGAACCCATATTCAATTCACCACTTTGACGAACTGGGCCTCATCATCTTAGTATAGATGCAGTGCGCGGCAGTGCACACTCCAGGTCCCAGACCTTGTTCACAGGCAACATGTGAATTGATCCAACCCATACATTGACCCCCCCCAAGCCCACCACCCCTGGCCGTTTTGGACTGGCCGCTCCGACCTGGCAGTCCCAAAACAGCTCGTGTCTGGGCCTCCGAAGGGGAATCCAGGATCGATCCTCTGTGGGGTCGCGTCTCCTGTGGGGTCGGCCATGGGCACGACCAGTCCATGGGGCGGACGACCGGGTAGGACGCACGTAATACAGTTCACTCCTGGTGGTATCAGAAAGGAGTTCTATACCAGGAATTGAGACTGAAAGGGTTGGACCTTCGGATTCGGGGCGTTTCGGTGCCTGAACCGGAACCAAGCGATCTGCAGACGTGACTTGCATGGCTCTCGGGGTGCGAGGAGAGAAAAACACCGCTCCGTCATGGACGGGTTTAACCAAACCTCTTCGAAGGCGGTTGGGTGTTTGAAACATCGACCTCTCCTGAGTCGAGGCCAGAGATCCCACGGAATTATTGGGTACCTGAGCTACTGGGATCCATCCTTCGAAAGGGATCCATCCGGGTCGCGAGAGACGCGGGAGATGCCTCAAACCAGGTGAGATCCTGGAAGATGGAATTTGCCCCTTGCACTTGCGCATTCAGCGCCTGGGCGCCACCGTTTCCGGTACCTGAGGGGCGACCGGAGAAGCGGATGCGATCGATGCGAGACATGCCGATGCGAGCGATCGTGGCGGGGTCGCTGGACCAGGTGCATCGGAGGGCCCGAAAACAGCCAGGTGACCCCGCGGATGCGGCTAGCGTGGAAGGTGCTGTTCGAGATTCTACATGCTACCCCCTGGGCATTCGCCATGCGCCGCCATGCGCCGCCGTCGAAGTGTCGATGGTGACCACCAGTCGGCTCACCGAGGATCCAACGGTTCTTGCTCGACGACACGGGAGGTTCGACGTTCCGCGCGGACCGCGCGGACCGCGCGACCGGGGTGATCGGGTCAGACGTCCCATGTTTCGAAGGTCCGAAGGGTCCGTGGACACTCCGACCCTTACACCGAACATCCACGAACCTGAAGACCTATAGCCTATAGCCAGTGGGTTTAGTAGAGGAACCTCGTTTTCCGGCGAAGTTGTCGAGTTCCATGCTCCTTATGACCTGTTTGAGGAGGTGATTAACCTCGGCTATGAGAAAAGGACACCACTTTAGAGAAAAATCGGGGACACTGTTCCATACTCACGGGTTCGAACCGCGCAGATCTCAGTTCCCTTCGTTTTCGACCGTGCTGAAACACTGCCAGAGGTGGGCATTGACGGTTTGATATCTTCCACTCCGTTAACGACCCTGCAGGTGAGTGGCACCCCTGGCACCCCCATCGCTCTATAGTGACTCTACTATACTTCAGTACTCTACGGACGTCGTGATCGGGTCATGTCACGTCCCATTTGTTTGGTTCCGAACGAAGGAAGAGGGTCGTGCACCGTCGAATCCGGAGGATCGAAAAAGGGCCATTGACCCGAGAGACTTCCCCCCAAGCCACAGGTTCAGCTTAAGCCGAAGCAGCATGAACTAACCAACTAAGCTGGATATTTGACAAACCGAAGCAACATGAACCAACTAAGGGATCTTTGACACTAGCAACTATAAAACCGTGTCAAGCCCTTTTTTTCATGGTCGAACGGAAATCTATATAGGGGTTATAGACTATATGCCATGGAGTGGACCAGGAGGTCCAAGCTGCAGCGGGCTTTGGGAATCCACGTCCGCCTTTATAGGACTCCGGATGTCGGATGATCCACGTCCGCCGCTCCAACGAGCAAAGATGAGCGGTTAACCACCCCGAACAGGCGGAAGTCCCGACTGAAGTGGAAAGTCCTGGACTTCGGGTCTAAGACCATTGGTGGTCGTCCAAGGACTCCCAGGATGGTCGTCCTTGGCACGCTTAATCGTTCTTTTGGACACACACGCACACGAGCACGAGCACCCTTCCTTCCTTTTCAGTCGGAAGTATACGTATCGAAACTCCCCATGGTCACGCCCCAAATCCGCTTCGAACGACTGAGAGAAGATCCACACAAAAACATCCCAACCCTACCAGTGGATCCTGGCGGCTAAACCAGGATGTACAGCGACCGACCCTTCTTTTGGAACCGGACCTCCGCCGCGGAACCGCGCGCGGAACCGCGCCAGTTCGCTGCGCCAGTTCGTCGCTCGTCCCTTTCGGCTCCAGGGAGTGGCGGGGACTCCGCGGCGAACGCCGAGACCCGACCAACACGTCGCATCGACAGGTTGCAGGAAGATGTGAGAGTTCACGTTTGCGACTCACAGGACGCGAGTGGCGCGTGTAATTAGGCAAGACTCGGCCTCTTCAGGCATCTGGCCTGGCGAACTATGAGGATTTCCCCCTATGCTGGGTGTGAACCACATGGCAGACGACCATATTTGACCCGACCCGATTCAAGTAACCCCCTCGGGACTCGGAAAGAGTTCAGTCGATTCGCTCCGCTGGACTCTCATGGAGTATGTTTGGCCAGACCGAGGCCGTGGTTTGGGCCGCGGTGAAAGCGTTCCGATTCGTTTGGGGCGCGGCGCGCGTGGCGAAAAACAACAGAAAAAGCAAACGCACGGAGGCTTGGAACAGCGGAGGTTGCAACAAAAGAAGGCGAAGATGTTTTCGCGAGAACTACCTGGAGTCTCAAAGTACTTCAGAAATTGGTACAAGTACCTGTGTGTGTTTTTGCCCAAACAGTTTACTGTTCTGTTAGGGGTTCTCAATTCTTTCTTAAGATGTGTCCGCCCTTTGTGTCACTGCTGGTGTCCACCCTTTTCCGCTGGCCCATGTAGCATTTCTATTCATTTGTTTCCCAGGTCTGCCACTGCTGGTGTCCGCCCTTTTCCGCTGGCCATGTAGCATTTCTATTCATTTGTCTCCCAGTCAGCTCTTTTCCGCTGGCGATGCAACATGTCTATTCATTTGTCTCCCAGGTCTGTCACTGGTGGTGTCCGCCCCTGGCCATGTAGCATTTCTATTCATTTGTCTCATAGGTTTGTCACTGCTGGTGTCCTCCCTTTTCCGCTGGCCCTCTATTCATTTGTCTCCCAGGTGATTTCTGTACTTCGCCAAACAGGTTACTGTTGGGGGTTTTAAATGCTTTCTAAGAGTGTCCTCTCCCTTCTGTTTCCTTCTGTCTCCCTTCTGTCTCCCTTTGGTCTCCCTTCTGTTTCCTTTTGTCTCCCTTCTTGTTGGTCATTGTGTCCGCCTTGTCTTCCCTCTTTCCTTTACATGTGCCTCCTCTCTCGCCCTCTCGCTTCCAACCCTTCACATTTGTCTCCCAGCTGCTTTGCCCTGCAATCCTTTACATTTGTCTCCCAGCTCTGGGCTGCGTGTCGCTTGCAATCCCTACATTTGTCTCCCAGCTCTGGACTGCTGTGTCCGCCTCTGCCGTGCAATCCTTTACATTTGTCTCCCAGCTCTGGGCTGCTGTGTCCGCCTCTGCCTTTCAATCCTCTACATTTGTCTCCCAGCGCTGGGCTGCTGTGTCCGCCTCTGCCTGGCAATCCTTAATTTTACATGTGTCTCCCAGCTCTGACAGCTGTATCCGCCTCTGCCTTGCAATCCTTTATTTGTCACCCAGCTGTGGGCTGCATGTCGATTGCAATCCTTTACATTTGTCTCCCTGTGTCTACATTTGTCTCCCAGCTCTGGACTGCTGTGGCCGCCTCTGCCTTGCAATCTCTAGTTGCATAGTGTTCCAATTGCTGTGCCTGCCACGAAATCTACACGACAGGCAGCGGCGACCACGCGTCCACCCAGTCCTCCTGCAGGCTCTGTGTACTGCGCCTGCCACGAAAACTGCACTCCAGGTTCACCAAGTGCTGTGCCTGCCACGTAAGATGGGTAGTGTAAGATGAGTGGAGTAAGATGGGTGGTGTAAGTGAGTGATGTAAGATGAGTGGTGAACAATGAGTTGAACAATGAGTGGTGTCAGATGAGTAGAGTACGATGGGTGGTGTAAGATAGGTGGTGTGAGTTGAATGGTGTAAGATGAGTGATGAACAATGAGTGGTGTCAGATGGGAGTTGAGTGGTGTAAGATGTGTAAGATGGGTGGTGTGAAATAGATAGAGTTCAGTGGTGTAAGATGAGTGTAGTGTAAGATCGGTGGTGTGAGTTGAGTGGTGTAAGATGAGTGGTGTGAGATGGGTGGTGTGAGTTGAGTGGTGTGAGATGGGTGGTGTGAGTTGAGTGGTGTAAGATGAGTGGTGTAAGATGGGTGGTGTGAGATAGATGGTGTTAGATAGGTGGTGTGAGTTGATGAGTGGCGGGCGGCGGAGGCAGAGGCGGCGGAGGCGGCGGAGGGGGAGCGGTTTGTGGAGAGCGAAAAACTAGAACCCCACATAGTGATGTGGGGAAAAACACACTAACATGTGTAAGATAAACACATTGTTCTTAAGCACAGACACGTGTTTTTCTTGTGCATATAACGACAATCATGATTGTATTGTTATATGTCATAGACCTGGACCCTCCAGTTCGTACCTTCGAAAATGGGACATGACCCAAACAAAAAGCAGGTACGACGGTACGACGGTACCCATTTTCTGAAGTACGAGTTCCGGGTCGACTCCAGGTATATGATTTTTGCATTCTGTTGTTCCGGTGACCGGCTGTCGTCTGTCAGGTGTCCACAACGCTTGAATGTCCAACCGATCCTTTGGTCACTGCGGCCGGGAAACCGAGAAGTCACGGCGACGCGTCGTCACGGTGCGTTCGTGCGTGAACGGCCGGGTCGTCACGCGGCGGGGTTCCCATCGCGAGGGATCGGAGAAGAAGATCCCGACGAAGAGGTGAGGCAAAGCAGACATGTTCGACATGAATCACTTTTTTGATCATATGTCGACCTGTTGTTTGGACCTGTTGTGTTGGTTCATGGTTGTTTTTTGTGTTAAAGTTCCGACCAGAACATGACATGATCCGCAGTTTGAGGTCACCGTTGGGCCTGTAGAGTTAGGACGGCAGGGACATGAGTCAGGGAAAGTCCTGTCGGATGATTCGCTTTGATCCCCCACCTGGTAGTGGTGATGATTGCGAGGTATAGGGTATATATATGGAAGGTCTGGCATTACCATGAACTACTCATCATGAGGCTCTCGGCTATAGGCTTAACAGTTTAGCAGTTGAAGAAGCACCGCAGACACTTCATCGTCCTCATGTTCCTTCTTTGGTGGGATTCCGTATTGAAGGCAAGGCTATATATGTATACATAAGCGCGTCTGTATTAGATTGAAGATGATGTTCACGGGGGCAATATGGCCTTTTGAGCCACTTGAGTCATGTAGACTGCTCTCATGAACCTTGAGAAACATCAATCTTGTTCTTCACACAATCTGTGACAGTGGATCTTTTGGGAGATCAACTCTAAGTGATCTGTGCATGATCAATTGAATCAATGGGCCACTTCATATGCCCATATACTCAATGAGCGCAGGCCTGCTATAGTTCTCCATAACGCTTGGCGTTGGCAAGTTGTTTCACCCGAGCCGTGAGGCTCGGATGAGGCTGTTCCTTTGGACATGTCCGAAGAGCAAGCCTGGGGTGTCCTCCCCATGGCTGCTATATGGGGAGACCTTGCAGGGTCAGAAGAAGACCCGTCAAAGACGTGGACCATTTGGACCTTAGAAGGATCGATTTTTCCAGCTCGACCCCCCAAGCCACTAAGACTGGCATCCCCTGAATGACTCGGGTCTCCTGATTTTTCCTGATAGATGTTCACGAGAAAGAGGTCCAATGACCAATGATTCCTGCTTGGTTTTCGGACCCCATGAGGGGTGATTCCTCCAAGACAGATCAACCAAATGTTCAACCTGTCATTCCACATCTTTTTCTGGTTTGATAGTTTGAGACCATATGACATCCCAAACCAAACCATGAACCCTTCTTTTCTTCTGCC